GTTGCAAGAAATCTTAACAAAATGTTGTCAATACAGTTGCCCTTTGGCAACCCACAGGGACTGGTTCCAGGACACACACAAGGATACCAAAATAGAGATGCTCAAATTGCTTACATATAAAATGGCATAGTACTTGCATATAATCTATGGATATCCTTTTGTATACTCTATCACCTCTGGATTACTTCCACATACTACCTAATGCCATGTGCATACTAATATATGTAGTTATTATGATATACTGTTTATGGAATAAAAAGAAAAAAAATTGTACTTGGTCTTTACAGATGTAACTTATTTTTCTAACACTGTCAACCAATAGTTAGTCAACTACCACGGATGCAAAACCTAGCAGTTACGAAAGGAACACCAAGTGTATATAAAGGTTCCATAATTTTCACTATCAAAATCTAACGAATTTGTGTTCACCTTAAAAACTGTATGGCAGAATCATGTGCTGTGAATGATACAGGAACCCTGCTTCTCTAAATTACTTTGTGATCATTTAGTGCTCATCAATCCTTCTTAAAGATAGAAGAAATGATGCAAAAAATAATTTTTGCTAGTTATTAACTTTTAAGGGGATGTTCACAGAACTTCAAATAAGATTCCTTTTTTATTTGAGGGAGCAAATTTATCCATGCTCTCCTAGTCTGTTATAAAGCTAAAATAAGAAGTAATTTTAGCAAGATTTGGGACTCACATTTTTAGATATTAAAGGGGGAAAGAAGAATGATCCAATTTTGAGAAAAATGACGTAGATTCTCTTGGGACCCTTTGAGCTGGACTCCTAAAATACTCACTATCCTAATAGGAGCCAACAGAGGGAGAAAGAATTGTAAGTATCTACATAATTAGGTACACTTAAAGGCACACAGCATATACTGGCCTAGAAAAAAAAGTAGAAGAAAACCTTAAGGGGAAATTCAAAATATCTGAATGGATATATACCAAGCGAACTTATTAGGAAGATGGCCACTGATACAGCTAAAGAGAAAGGGCCATAAACAAACTGTGACCAGCTTATGTCAATGAGATACACAAAAGTACTTTTAAAGAACAAAATCTGCATTTTACTAGCAATGACTAGCTGGTATCTTGTCTTTGGTAGTGCACTAGCACCATATAGCAAGGGCAAGCAGGTCAATCCCTTGCAAACTTACCTTGATTGGCCCAATGGAAACAGAAGGCCCCAGAAAAGAGAGAAGCATCTGGCAGTAGCAAATTGTTTTATTTTATCTTTCTGTGGAAAGAAACTAATTTTAAATAAGAACCAGAGCATTTAAAGAATAAATATTTTTTAAAGCTCATTATCTAGTTAGAGCAGCTCTACCAAGAAAACAAGAAGAGCTCCTTGCTGCTTTAGAGATGGAAGGAAACAGAAGAAGAATCAGAGTTGTCTCTGCATCTCCTACGGAGTTTTAAAATTTGTGTTATTTTAAGAGTATCAGAATAAATATCTTTTATAAAGAGCTGCAGGCAGAATCTTTTGGGTTTGGTGCCTTTGAATAAAGATTTTTGTACAAAATTAAGGGCTATATTCCAAATACAAAAGAAGAAAACCAGTTGACATTGAGCCCTTCTACTGTTAAAAAAAAGACAGTAAGCTCCTTTTCCCACTATAATTTCACTAATGACTTTAACCATCCAGGTTTAAACAAATATCAAAGTCAACAGTACTCATTAGGAAAAGATCATATATAATCGGCTTTCCAAAATAGTTTGCTAGCCTAAATTTCTCATGATTTAGCAAGATATTCATAAGGACATGACCCAGCCACCTAAGGACTTGCGTATTATAGAACCTAGAGCACATAATTTGTACGGTACATCATCCCATTGCCCTTATGGATGCTTCTCTAGAAACTCAGTTCTACCAGTCACTGAGTCAGCATTAAAACCTTTTGATCCAAATCACTCTCACAAAGTGTCCATCTACATTTTACGCTAGAGATGGAAGGGGAAACTAATAAACAGGAGTGCAGAAGCAGTAAGCATTAAAAACAAAACAAATATAAGTGGAAATGGACTACCTACTTGGCACTGTCCTATGAAGAATCAGATTCACAAAACAAAACCTTCCCACCGCTACACACAAAGAAGGTCTTTCAAGAATAAAATTCATTCTAAGCTAAATTTCTAAACAATTAATATTTTCTGATTCCATGCATTTTATATGACTCACAAAAATAAGTTACGTTGTCCCTACTAGATATTTACTTCCAAGATTAACTTCATTTGACATGCTTGAAAAAAACCACTAAGTTAAAAAGCCTAGATGTACTGTCACTTCTAAAATTAAAAAAGTCTTAATTTTGTTTAAGTACTCAGTAAATTCCTTTCACAGAATTGTTCCATTACTATTCAAAACTTGGGTAGAGTCATGATTCAACATTTGTCTTATTTGAATCACCATCTGGATGTAAACTAACTTTTAAACAATTAGAAGCACACTATCCAACCTACATTTTGAGATCTAGACACAGTAACAACTGAGGCAAAAGTAAACAGAAAACAAAACAAAAATGTAACATTCTTACTTGTCCCATGGGTGGCCCTCCCATAGGGGGCATCATCTGTGGCATCATTCCATGAGGTACAGGAGGCATATTTGCTCTCTGACCCATAGGGTGCATTCCCATTGGTGCATAGTGCATGCCAGGGTGCCCCATCTGAAAAACAGTAACAGGTTAAGGTTAGCGAGTTATAGGAAACGCTCCTCAAAAAATCTCTCTCGGACTAATCACTTACCTGCGGAGGCACCGTGTTAGACTAAGTGTTAGATTAACTCGTACTTTTTCGTGCCCAACAAAATGCACTCTACCCGTATTCCTAAGCAGCCTGCCAGTTCCACAGGAAAATGGGAAAGACTAAGTCGCTGATGGGACAGGCGATCACGGGTCTCGGGCGAGCGGGTGTCGACTACACCACCGTCTCGCTGAGTTCCGAGTCGGTCCTGGAAGCTCACGCGGAGGCTGACAGCCAAACCCTCGCCCTCCCTCACGCGAACGCCGCCAGCCAGCGGGCGGCTCACACCGCTACGCGGCGAAG